CGCCTCCTCCTTCATTTGGAGCACCACCCCCACCACCTCCACCTGCTCGTGGCGCTCCAGCACCACCCCCACCTCCTTTACGTGGAGCTCCTCCACCTCCTGTAGGTGGAGCACCACCTCCGCCGCCACCTCCTGGAGGTCGTGCTCCTGGCCCTCCACCTCCACCTGGAGCTCCTGGTGGTGCACCTCCTCCACCTCCACCCTTGGGTGCCAGAGCAGGTGACATGAGAGGAAGAGGGCGTGGGCTCTCGCGTCCAGCAGCTGGTACAGCACCTCGGAGATCTTCCTTAAAGCCTTTACATTGGAGCAAGGTCACGAGGGCAATACAAGGAAGCTTGTGGGAAGAATTGCAAAGACATGGAGAGCCTCAAATGTATTTTATCTTCTTTTACTTACTTAGATTTTTTACAGTACACTTCCATGAGTGATAAATTTCTGACTTAATATATATGCTAAGATTTTAGGGAACCATATGTTTGCATTACTGTTTTACATTTATTAATTTCCCATTTGTATTCACTGACATTGCCTTCTTCTCTTAGTGCGCCAGAATTTGATGTGTCAGAACTTGAGACTCTTTTCTCTGCAGTTGTTCCTAAACCTGCTGATTCAGGCGGTAAATCTGGAGGGCGGCGCAAGTCAGTTGGATCAAAAACTGACAAAGTCCACCTGGTAATCTGGAATTTCATTTTTCTGAATAAACCCTATACATATATGTTCTTTTAAGGTGATTGTGATACTGTTACTTGAACCACCTTCTAGTCTATAAGCTTGGATGAGTTCCAGGTCTGCAGTCCTAGAAATTGAGGAATTTGTAATTTGAGCAAAAAGTGCAAGGATTCCACTTTGTCATGGAAAAAAGTCATTCTAATCTTTGTTGTTGTGGTTCACATTAATGTATATGTTTTTTTCTGATTCTTGGAAGTTTTCTAAAAGGAGCTGCAAGTTAAGATATTAACAGAGTTTTGATTCTATATATATCCTTTATTTTCTTGGTACATAAGGATTTTGAGCTACACAATGGGAGGTAGCCCTCTCTCATCCCATAAATCCCATCCCACCCATCTCAATATTCAAACTGGAGACCTCCAGGGTAGTCTCAGTTCTAACTGTGTGGGTGTCCTGTTGGGGACCATGTACATTCTTCAGTGATTTATAGCACTGATGTTTTCATATTTTGCTGCTTTGAATTTGAAAACATGATATTGACGTAAGAAATGCCTTTCTGAAAATTTATTAAATAATTTATGCATTTATTACCTGTAACTTTATAAGACCATCACAATGATGATTATTTCCCCCTTCTCCACTGGCATTACTAATAAATTTTGTTTATTGAACTGTAGATTGACTTGAGGAGGGCCAACAACACTGAAATTATGCTCACTAAAGTTAAGATGCCACTTTCTGATATGATGGTAAGCTGGATGTGGTCATGTTTTTGCATTTAGTAGTGCTTTTTGCACTAGAGGAACTGTGTATGGTATTCTCATTAATATAAATGTCAACTTGGAATATGGAAGTTTACCCGATAATATTTATGAACAGAAAACCGAGGTCATTTGATTCTGTTGTTCTGCTAGTAATTACACTTGAGTACCCTGATATGTAGCGTCCTTATGGCCATTGACTTCTTCAGCAGATTCTATTTTGGTGTAATGCAAAATAGAATCCGCTATGGCCCTGATATGTAGTCTCCTTAGGGCCATTGGCTTCTTCAGCAGATTCTATTTTGGTGAAATGCAAATTCTTAGGATTCTCTTGCTTCTCTTTTTTAAACCTTTTTCTCCTTAGCTTTATTTGAAGGTTGTCAATGGAATCTGTTAACTAACAATGTACAGCTTTATGCATTTTTTCAGGCTGCAGTGCTAGCGATGGATGATACGGTATTAGATGTTGATCAGGTGGAAAATCTCATAAAATTTTGTCCTACGAAAGAGGAAATGGAACTTCTCAAGGTGAAGCTTTAGCATGTACAAAGATTCAGCATCAGATTTTAAGTGATTCAGAACTGCTTTTACATAGTGTAGGAATTCATTTACCTTTACAAGTTTGTCTTCTTTGGTTGTGATTTACCCATCTTGTGATTTTCTAGGGCTACACTGGTGACAAGGAGAATCTAGGGAAGTGTGAACAGGTCTGGAAATTTTTCTCTAACCATATCTTCGGAATTTTCATTTGCTGGTGAAATTGAATCTTGGGAACTCTGTCAAATTGTTGGACTTGGGTTATATACTTTGGTAGATTCCTAGATGATTGCATTGCCATTGACCTGTTACAAATGCACAATTCTGAAAATTGATTTGGCTTTATCTTCATGTTCTTAATTCTGACCATCTAATATCTTTATACTGTCCAGTTTAAGATTTTCATAAAAAAAAAAAAATAATCGAGACGCTTTTATGATGTTGAAATACAATATCCTGGCTTATTCAAAGTGTCTTTGATTGAGACGTATTATCATTTGTATCAGAAGTCAGTTCTTTTAGGGAGTGTGAAAGAAATACATAAAGAAAACCCCCTCTGCTCCCCCAAGTTCTTTGTTTCCTTTTTCCTCCCTTCCCTCTTGCGCTGAAAGGGGACTATGATTTTGTGTATTTATGTATGCATTTAGACCGTGTATTACTTACTCTGTCTTTTGTTTAAGTGTCTCTTTTTCCTTTTCTAGATGTATCGAATTAAGTGTTTGTTTTCAATAATCCAGAATAATTTGTTCTTAACTTTTAAATTTTCTATTTTTTAAGGACCTTTGGCATTATCCTTAATTCTTTTCAATTTTTAGGTTAAAGATGGTAATTGATGTGTCTGCATTAATTTGCTTTTATCTTTTTGCATTTTTAATAAGGACATGCAAACTAGGATGAAGTTTGTACTTGTCATAGCTTCTATTTTTTGCTAGTGTTATTTTATGATTATTTTTGGAACGATAGATGCCTGAAACTCCTTAATGAAGATTGTAACCCCAGCAACCTTTAGCAGTAGAAGGTTGTGGAGCCTCTCGGTTGAGAATTTTTAAAGGTTTTTAAGCCACTGGTTGTGTTGTACCACTGTGTACTTATGAATTAAAATATGGATCTAGATGAATCTATAATGCTAGTAAACGTAAAGCCTAATCAAGGAAGATGCTTAAGCAATAACTGAAATATGCGAGACAAGCTCAATGTCTTAGCAGCAACTTACTTGATCTAGCAGCAGAAGCTGTTGGATTTGAGAAATAGGGTAGGTTTGTCTTTATAGGCACGTGGAGTTGCATTCTTTAGCGTCTTGTAATTTTTTCTAAATCAAATTGTGGAAGAGTACTTGGTCTCTAATATCCTTTTTTTTTCCTCGTGTGTGTTTATGTCTGTTAATTATATTTTGTAAGTACTATATATCATCAATAATGGCTTCATTGAGAAAGTGCAGTGTCATTCATGAGTGTGAATGCATTTAAGATTGCTGCCTAAAAGTTTGGTAATGTGGATCGCTGTTTTCAAACAGATGGAGCATTAATTATGTTATTTAACTATTGATCAATTTCTTCTGTAAAATTTTCAATTTGTTTACATATTCTTTTTATTCTGATTCTGAGAAGTCATAAGCTAGTTCACTGACTGAAATAAATATCAGAAAAGTACATGTTTGCCTTGGGAAAGGAGTGTGCTCTTAGAAGGGTGTATGTGTTAGTTTAGTTAGGAGACAGTGTTATATTTGATCCCTTTCTTAATTTTGTGGCTTTTGTGGAAGGAGAAATAGAAGGATGTTTCAGGGAAGAATTACCCTTAACAAAGCTCCTGTGTTTTTATACTCCTATTTTTGTTTTAAACAGGCAGTGGTGAGGGAAAGTGCAAGAGGCTATTGGCTTTATTATATCTGTTGTTCGGTTAAAGTTAGCTTTGTCCTTTAGTTCTTGGTACTTTTTAGTGATATGGGTTCTTTGCTTATTATAAAAGGGGGTAAAAAAGAAAGAAAGGCCCGATAAAGTTTTATCTGTTATATTACTAAATTTTGGTTGATCCAACATTAAGAATATAAATAAAGCACTAGAGAGCAATGGATTATATAGCATTGTATCACATACAGGATAATGACATTCCGTTATTTTTTTATATGAAGAAACTCTAGCTAAGACAATTGGTTCCTGGATGTTTCTCCAATTACATCTTTTTGATCCATCTCTGCATAAACTTTCAAACCGATTGGCTTTTTATTTTTCCATGTTCAGTACTTCTTGGAGCTGATGAAAGTGCCACGAGTAGAGTCAAAATTAAGAGTGTTTTCTTTCAAGATTCAGTTCGGCTCTCAGGTTTGGCGGTATCTCCATAGTTAGTCTGATTTGATAAATTTTCAATATTATTTTATAATTAATCTCCCGCTTGCTTTCTCTGTTTGAATCCACTTTTGACCTGTGTTCTTATACTTTTCTACCACCTGTAGATTTCTGAATTTAAGAAGAGCTTAAACACTGTAAATTCTGCGTGTGATGAGGTAAATCATTAATGTTGCTGAACAGACTTGAATGCGGTTTTTATTCGTTCATTTTGTCTTAGTACTTTTGTATTGGTTATTTAGGTTCGAAATTCGATTAAATTGAAGGAGATCATGAAGAAAATTCTCTATCTGGGAAATACTTTGAACCAAGGAACTGCAAGGGGTAAGTGAGATATTCAATTTTCCTTTTCGCTTCAGTCTCTGATGTTAGAACTGCAGCTGATAAAAGATTATGTAGAGAAGAGACTGATTAGCTAAAGCGTGTGTATTGTCCTTATTTTGGAGTTTGTCTAGACTTATGCATGTTAATAATACTTCTTTTGATGTTTACCTGCACTTTCGCAGGTAAGGTTGACTTACTATACTTTGAGCGGCATTCTCACATCTTAAACTGGAAATCTTGTTGGTCTGTATAGCCCTTGGGCATACCATGCAGTGTGAAAACTGCAAAGCATGCCTATCATTTCTGATAGTTGCTATCAGATGTTATTAAGGCTTACTTTATGACCTAATGTGCTAACTTCCTGTTCTTTAAAAGAAATGCCAAATATTATTTGGATGTCAGAAGAAAAGTGAAGCATATTTGTTCTGAACTTTTCATATTTGTTCCTTGTTTGTCTTAATTTGGAAGTGGCTGGGTATCTTAGAGTCTTGGTGTTTTTGTGGGTTCTAATTCCATAGATGTTTAGTAAATAGTACTTTTGATAGTGCTTGAGCTATGTGATTCCTAAGGCATGTGCATTAAATCTAAATCGAAGGAAGACTATTTCAATGGTACAAATCATCAACACAGTTTTGTCAACAGCTAGGGGTTTAAGTGGGTTATGCATTTATGTCCTCTAATTTTAATTTCCACATTATTCATTTATGTCTTTTATTGTCCAATTTTACATGATGCTGGCATCAATGTTTATTCCCATTATGCTACTAGTTCCAGGTTGGTGTTGGTCTTTTCTGTCTTTAATGCTGATAAACTTTTAAGAGTTGTGTTGGTGAAAAATTTTTTACTGCTGCATTTTTCTTTAATACGAAGTTTCAAACCATTCCTATTTATACAGGTTCTGCTATTGGATTTAAGTTGGACAGTCTTCTAAAGCTTGCAGATACACGTGCTTCTAACAGCAAGATGACGCTAATGCATTATCTTTGCAAGGTTTGCTTACTAATTTTCCTTTCTCTATGGTCTTTTGTTTCTTATAAGATTTTCCTGAATTATGTGTGACACCTAGTTTATATGTTACATTACCACTGGACATTTGCTTCTGATGCAAACAGCAACTGTCAATTTAAATTGAGTTTCGACTGTGTCTTACCGTGGTGCAGGTCCTTGCTGCCAAGACACCAGCACTTTTAGATTTTCACCTGGAATTTGTTAGCCTTGAGGCTGCAACTAAGGTACCCATCTCTTGTTCAGTGTTTGAGGTTTGTAGTTAGTAACATTATGTTTAGTTTGAAGCCTTGTGTCCTTGCAGATACAATTAAAATCTTTAGCAGAAGAAATGCAAGCTATAATTAAGGGCTTAGAAAAGGTTAAGCAGGAGTTGGTTGCCTCTGAAAATGACGGTCCTGTGTCTGAAGTTTTCCGGAAGGTACATAAATGTATCATTACTTTTTATTCTTCAGCATACATATTCAAGGGTTGTTGCATGGTCTTCAATGTATTTTACCACATAACTTGTTTATTCAGCCACATTCTGTTGGTTGACCATCAATGGAATTCCTGACTGGCTGCTAGGTTTTTTTTCCCCCATCCACTGCATGTTGTAATTATTTTAGAAAAAAGAATAAGAGAAATGTTTTGTAAACCTGACATACCTTAAAAGTGAGGGTCACTAAATAAAGAACAAGAGTATTACAAGTTGCTGCTACAACAGTAGCTTTGAGGTACAAGTGATTATTGCTAATATAGTGGAATATTAATCAAATGATATGTTTAGAAATGATTCTTTCCTTTTAAAAGTTCCTTAAGTTAACATTCTCTCATCCTACATGGTAATCCTTTCCAATTGGTTCATTATTGGGTTTTATATTGTGTTTTGATGCAATGGAGTAAGCATGAGTATGGCCTTGTGACCACCAAATTCTATCAACTGCATTTTATTTGTCAAGGGAATAAGTTCATTGTTCTAATATTTTTCTTTTAATTTAGACCTTGAAGGAATTCATATCTGTTGCTGAGATGGAGGTTGAATCCGTAAAAAATCTATATTCTGTGGTGGTAATTTGCTAACTGTTGTCATTATCTTTGATATGTCATCTGATGTTGTTCTACTCTTTTGATCATGCATCCAATCATTGAATTTTTTTTTTTTTTGCTTTTTGGTGGACAGGGTAGAAATGCAGATGCACTTGCACTCTATTTTGGTGAGGATCCTGCCCGATGCCCGTTTGAGCAAGGTAGATTGTGGATGTAATACCTTCTGTACCTATTGTGCCTGAGTAGTTATCTACAATGTGTTTAATGAGAATGTTAGATAAGGTTTTTTATTAACCTTTCTTTCCTTTTTCTCCTACACTCCACCCCCTGCCTCCCTTCATTTTCCATTTTCTTTTCCCCCAACAAACGGGAAAAAGGAAATGTCAGTCATCATATGGTTAATGGGTCAAATGTTTCAGGAAGTTGTCTGGATAGGGTCAAAAGGGAAGGAAAATCTACTGGAAGAAGTAAAAAAGGAAGGATGAGCGTGAGGATCTTATGGTAGAGAAGGATAAAGGCGATTTCATGATTGAACTTAGAGTGCTTATAATTCTTAGGATACTCAAATACTAGTAAATAAATTATGGAGAAAGGTGAAGGAGTGTTAACTGAGATCAGAAAAGAGGCAGGAAAGTAGGGGCCTGTTTATTTTTGGGAAAATTTTCCATTTTCTATCTCCACATTGACTCTAACTATGAGCAATAAAATAAAGTAAATAACAAAATTTGAAATTTTGGAGAAAAGGGCCTGAAAACTTGGTAAATAGGTCAAAAGACAATTTAAACTAGTTGTCCAGTTTTTTTAGAAAATTAGAGAATTATGGTTTCTAAACCTTTTATTTGTCTTATTTCATTAACTATATATGGAGTAAAAGTTTAGTTGTAAGATGGAAACTAGTTTCCAAAACAAAACGAGCCCAAAGATTTTTTTTTTTTTATGGTTCTTTGCTAGTTGCCTTTTGCTTCCGCAGTTTTGCTATGAAGTGAAAGCAGATGGTAAAGCCTAAAATTATACTTGTTCAAAAATGAATAAATGGCTTAAAAATACCACTGCTATAGACATAATGGTTTTATGTTGAAAAAAATGTGAAATCATGCTTTTGTTATTCATAAAATTTGACTCTTTAGTTTTTAGATCTTCAAAAATGTATTTGCATCAGTACCAATGCTCATCTTTTGCTTTGTACTTCCCAAAGCAAATAGTGAACAGCAAAAGCAACTAACATAAACAACCTGGTTTTATCTTTCTTAGGATTTGTTTAATATTTATGTATTACAGTCTAAATCTAAATCCTAGTTAGGATTTGTTTATTTCAATCTGAATAAACATGTTCCCTCATATCTGATGCTGTATTGATCAATGCAGTTACTGCAACACTATTAAATTTTGTGAGGTTGTTTCGAAAAGCACATGAAGAGAATGTGAAGCAGGCTGAATTGGAGAAGAAGAAAGCTGACAAAGAGGCTGAAATGGAGAAGGCTAAGGGAATTAACCTTACAAAGAAGGGTGCGAAATAGTTGAGGATCAGTTTTTCACTATTTCCTACAAGGTAATATACTCCTGCCTAGCAGCAGATGTCTGTGCCGATGAGTTTGACTGAATGACAGGAAATGCTGCTTTTGAGGACCGCTAAGATGCCTCCCGTTCTCTGCTATTGGTGCAATTTGAAGCCTTCAGAGATGTTGTAAATGAGGCAAGGGGCCTTGTCCTGGAGGCTAGCAGACCTTGAACTATGCATAAGGCTTCAGGACACATTTTTGATGGGAAGATGTTCTATCCCATGATGGTGAATGAGCAACGAAATTCTCTGAGTAGATGTCAGATGGACCAAGCTTCTATGCAGAGTGGTTATGATCAGAACCGAGTAGCAGAGGCTGTGAATGCTAGTTATCAAGGTCAGTGATGTGGCCCTTGTAGCATTATTTTTGGAAGGAATTTTGTAGTCGTGGGCCATCAGTTGGCTATGATAGGTGATTTCTTTTCAGCTTCCGCCATTCATTTGGAATAGTTTTTACAGCACCTGACTGGATGCCTGTGGGATTGTGAAGCGGAAAGTCCCACTGTACCATGAAAACCTGTAGTGTACAAAGCTCTAACCATCCACTTACAGTAGAATTCAATTCTTTATCTTGTAACATAACCACCCCCCCTTTTTTTTTTTGTTTGCTTTTATTTTTCATTCCTGAGAATTGAGATTTTTGACAGTAGCCCATCATAGGAGATGTTGTATAGGTTGTTAGGTTTTAGAAAAAGAGAAATTAGAAGACGGGCTCTCTTGGTGTAATTGTAATATAGCACCAGAATGTAGCTGCCAATTGTAAACCGCTTTGTTTCTTTCATTTGATTTGATTCGATTCCTGAATCAACAAGTAATTTATGAAATTGTCTGTTCCCTTCTCTCTCTTTCGGCTCGTTCTTCATAATTCCTCATCTTTCTGCTGATTCAGAAGAGATTCCATCCATAGTGAATGGAGGTAGAGAGAACCATCTCCTTGTTTCTACATTCCTGCTCAACCTCTCAGTAATAGCATTGTTGGAGAACATCTCCTTGTCAACATCTCTGTTCGTTTTCGTCTTCTTACATTTTGGCTCATTTCCTCCTAACCATTTTTCTTTTGCTTACAAAAGGAGAGTGAGCTTTACAATTTGAATTAAGATCTCTACCTAAATCCTTCTTAATTCCTGTTTGCTGAAATTATTAAGCAAACGACTGCGTCATGTGCAAATCAATGGTGGAGCTGGACCACTTTTATCTAGGACTAAATCGTCTCTAACCTTTTAGTAGCAATAGTCGTCAAACACCTTGGTTGACTCGATCAAAGGTCTAATGACGTAGCAGAAACCAAAGCCAATGTTCCATTGTTTCCTTAACCATGGTAAACGACTCATTTTGTATGTAATCAGCAGGACTTAGTTAAAACCATCTACCTTAATAAGCCAAATATCGAGAATACTGTAATGAATAACAGAGTCATATGCTCCTCTCATATCTGGTTTGATGGTGAGATCTCTCCTCTGATAATTCTTGCTTCACCCAATACAAAATATTAGAGTGAAAAACACAAAAATCATGAATTTGTTTGTTATAGTAAAAATTTTAACCCAGAGGCCAGAGCAGAGCTTAATTGAACTTTTCTGAGATTATATACTTCCTTGATCATGGCATGCTAGCTACATTTTAACATGAAATTTTCATTCTTCTTTTCTGGTATAGATTTGTTTACAGAACATACATGAACAGTAGAATTTTCAAAGGGATGACCCAAAAATGAAAAAAACCCTGGGGTATGTGACAGAGAAATTGATTACACTGTAACAAAATTTTCCTCTTCTGCTCCTTGAGTTCTTTGTCCCATGTATGGAGAGATCTTTATATTTCAGAAGTTGCCTGGTTTCTCTTCAAGCAACAGAAAAGAATCATGAATACAAATATTACTTGTATGAATTTATACGGGCAGTCTTTGGTCTTTCGCTGTGAAATTCAAGAAAAGAATTTGATGATCCCTGGTCGTTTCTTTCTATGTCTTTTATGGGAGTTGGTCAATATTCTTCAACTTCACATAAGCATTACCATCTTCCTCTGCAATTTCAATCCTGTAAGAGTGTCTGCCTTCCTGGTCTACTAAAGAACCCGTCTTGCAGCTTTTGAAGAACATGCAACTCACAACAGTATCAAGAACAACAAATGTGGAGTACAAGAAAGCAATTAAAATCCCTTCTGAAGCCATTGGAAAGCTGGTCACATCTCCAGTATGAAAAGCTCTCACAACGCGGTAATGGAAAAGGGCTTCAATAGCTGCCAGGACCAGATTGACAGGTACTGCCAATGTTAAAGCAGTTGAAGTTCTTCCCCTTATCAGAACACAAGCCTTGAGAATTGCCATATATCCACCTGATCTTTCCATCCCTGATGAAACCAACGCTAAGTTGCATATTATGAGGGCATTGGCAAGAATAATGGAATAAAGAACAGCTCCTGCAGCTGACAGGAAGAGGAGCCAGCTGGGAGATGTGAATCCAAACCCTTCGAGAAAATTGAAGGCAAAGAAGAGGAGGGAGAAGGCTGTCGCATTTGCTGATAGCAGCAAAAGAAAATTGCAAATGTATGTGGCCAGGAGGGGCTTGTAAAGGGATATAACTGAAGAGACGGAAGGTGGCAGGTTTGGTTTGTGGTGGTTGAGAAGTTGAATTATGGAGGCTTTGGCTATGAGGAGGAAAGAGAGGGTGAAAGGGAGAGCAAAGATGGAGGAAGAGATGGTTTGGGAAATCTTGAAACTGAGAACTGTGAAGAACTCTGAGGAAGGAGGGAAGCCAGCAGCCTGGAAAAGAATCCTGAGACGGTTGTGCATAGTCGGCAAGAGAGGAGAGGAGGGAACAAAGAGTTGCGAAAGGAGAATTGAGGCGGAGTAGGGAAAAGCAAGAAGTGCAGCAGTGGCCGTGAGGTAGTGATAGTTTTGAAGGAAGGTGTAGATTGATCTTCTTATGATCTTGCCGGCCTTCTCCATCTGAATTCTTGGGCTGTCTTCCATTGGTGAGAGGGAACAAAGCATGGAATGTATGTCTCACCACCAAGCGCCCCTGTATCAAAAGCCTTGATGTCTCCCCCCCACCCCTCCCTTTTTTAAGTTTTCTTGAAATGGTTTCTTTGCTCTCTCTCCCTCTCTTTTTTATGGTGGGTTAGAAGAGTACGAGGAGGGTGGGTTTGGGGGAAAATGAATAAGATTGGCCAACAAACTAAAACTAACAAATTTGCAGAGGTGTAGTTGTTTGGGGATTGTTTATATCAATGAGACTCTTTGGACTCATATGGGTTTCCATCTTTGTAATATCTAATCCACCCATATTAGTTGGCCAATGTAAGAACTCATGGGAATCAAATAAAAATAAATGGAATAATAATAAAAAAGCCCCATTCCTTGATGTAAATACACTGTACCAAAAGCCAAAGAAACCATTATCTTGTTTATGCCTTGATTTTTACTCCCTTGCTCATGCAAAGAGAGTGGCTTGTTTTTTGATGGTCTACATGAAACTTATTATTATTGCTATTATTATTATACGTATTAATGCTAGTCTCCTTCCTATTTATTTAATGTTTAATGGATCTTCAATCATATGATATTTCATACCTTTCATGTGGTCTCAATTCCTCAATATCAGCATTTATATATATTTAATAAATTTTAAACATTCATTTAATAAAAAGAGGAAAATTATTGAGGATATATAATTTTCAGAAAAGGGTTTGTGAAAAAAAAAACTATAAATTCTTGTGATGGGCATTAATTAATTTTAAAAATCAAACCCAAAAAGAATAAATTATTTGTTAAGTATAGATAGTAGATCAGGTTTGCATATGGAGTAGGGACAACCTCTTATTTAGTTATGGTTCACATGGTAAGGGATTGATTCTTTGCTTTCAAGGAAATAGACAATAATAACTCTCTACAAAGGAAAAGGAGAGATATATCTTAAATACCAAGATGGGGAAGATTGGCTTTAGGACCCCATCCCACACCCTTGTTTAATCACCAAATCATATCCATTCATGGGTGTGGGCCCTCCCTCTTAAACATACCATTCTGATATTTTTAATATGTATGTATGTATTAACATATTTTTTCATACAATCTTTTAACAACTTGTTGTAATTAATTAAGTAATTGAACATAAATATATAATTTATTAATGGAAAATCACTTACATGGGTTAGTTTAATTGGTAAAGAGAGTTTTTTTTTTAATTTTATTTTTAACCTCGTGAAAAATATTTTACAAGAAAAATCTCGAACCCATCGTTTTGATATTAAAAAAATGCGTTTTTAAAATGGTTGGAAAAAAAATTAGATTCAAATAAAATATGAAAAATAGTCCTAATCAAATTAATAAAATAAAATAATGGAAATTAAGGTAATGAAGCCAGCCAGGGCAATTGAGGTGGGTTTGGAATGACTTTACTTAGGTGTATGGGTCCCAAGATGATGAAGTTGGTGCGCAGTCGTTTTGACCTCATATGGTTGGTTTGTTAAGGGATCCTCACAAAATAATATGGCATTATTATATATATATATATATATATATATCTTATTTGGTAATTTGTTTCTAATTATGGTGTATACTTTAAAGAGTAGTTGTTTAAGTAGGAAGGGATATTAAAGGATGATAGTTGAGTCGCCATTGGTGAAGGGTCAAAATTTATGTGTTAAGTGACCTTCTAACTATAAAAGATTTGTTGCAAAATTAATTATAACTAAAAATCAAAATTATTTAATGACTTAACTAAAAGCAAAATTTGATTGATGGACAAGGACTAGTTTGGATTCTTCTTCCCAAAGCAAAATAAATATAGAGGATTATGACTTCAAATTGCAATGTAAAATCTCATTTAATAACTCAATAGTAATTTATATTATGTAACATGTAATTATTACATAGTAATGTAAATTACTTTCTAGTTGGATCTAACACAAAATTATAGTTACATAGAAAAGCTTTGTCGGTGTGGTTATCTCCCGTCGAGATTAATCACTTAATCTCTCTATTTATTTAATTTGTAAAACAATTTAAATTAATACCCTCAATACCAACAACAAAAATAGGTAATAATAGCATATATGATGTCCAATTTTCAAACAACAATGGTAGGTCGAGAAAATAATGAGTTTGTTTCCTTAATATATACAAGTGTGAAAAGACTTAATTTTATTTTTTAAGATTCGATTCAAGTTTTATCATGTGTAAATTTGCTTCAATTTTATGTTAAATTTTGTCTAGTTATATTTTAATTTATTGGTTAAAATTTTAATTTATTTGATTTATTTTTAATATAATATATCATTGTCAATTGTAATTGAATTTTCTTAAATTCACGTTTTTGAAAAACGAAATTAAAAGTCCATTTATCATTTAAAAGAAAAAAATTTTTAATTATATTTTTTTATATGTCATTACCCTCTCTGGGTGTATAACACACCCGCTTATAAGGAGCCAAGAATCTCCCTTTCTTGTTTGATGTGGGATAGAGACACACCTTTGTGACACTCTCTCCCACCCGATTCCGACAACGCCCTCATTGCCGTCGGCTACCCTGCCTATTCCGATCCGTTGGAGCGCTTGGCGTGAGTCAGACGAGGTTCGATACGCTATGATACCACTTGTCACGGGATTATTACCCTCATCTTAAAGAAGCGTCTATTGGGGTGTGCAGCACATCCGCTTATAAAGAGTTCAAGATCTCCTGTTTGTCTGATGTGAGATAGAGGTACCCTTTGTGATACTCTTTCGCACCCGATTTCGACAACGCCCTCGTTGCCATCGGCATAAAATAGTTTAAAACAAAGAGATTCAAATCTTAAATCTTAAAATTTTTTAAAATGAAATATAATAACTAAAAAAATC